CCACACCACACCACACCACACCACACCACACCACACCCCACCACACCACACCACACCACACCACACCACACCACACCACACCACACCACACCACACCACACCACACCACACCACACCACACAGAGGGAGAGGGGGGGCGTTAAATAACACAAAAGCCGCCACCACACCACAGGGGGACGAGGGGGGCCAAACAAGCCAAAACCCCCGACCACAATACAGCCCGGGGCCGGGGCGTGGGACAGCATGAGGCCACCCAGAGCCCCTTTAGAGGGAGGCCGCGGCGGAGCACAGAGCGCGCACCACAGCGGCAGGGGAAGCAAAACGAGGGTATGGGGGGATACCATGCCATGGGGTGGGGAGGGGCATGTACATGTGCATTGTCCTGTAATTTAACCTCAAGCTGGCCACTTTCAAGGAGTACACTGCCATCAAGATCGAATTGCTGGAGTGGACGGACATGATGAAAAAGTTCTTTGCAGAAGGGAGCAAGGTTTCACTGGGGACTGCCAACCATGTGGCAAAAATCGCTACATCTTGTAGGTTTTCTTGCTGGCGCGGCGCCCTGGAGAAGAGCTTGTGCTGCGCACGGACTTCAGTTCCTGCCATTTTTGAGAAAACCGAGGCAGCGACCCTGAGGGCCGAGACCATGCCTGGACAGCTCTGGGCCCAGAGTCCGCCACAGTTTCACAGACAATATTTGTTCTGCAAGGGCCTTTGCTTCAGAGGTGCTAGTGACTGCTAGTGCTATTGTTATGTCAAGGACCAACTGCTGGATTCTGCCGTCTGGGCAGTACGGATGCTACAAGGGTCCTGGCTTGGAAGTCTACGCCTCTTGGCCGGGTTTAGTACCTCCTTCCGTTGAAAGGCGGGGCTTTCATGAACTTCTGTTTCACAGGTGTGTTCACATCGAGCTGCTCGCAATATGAGCTTTCAGGACCCTTACAAGCACATCTTCATTGATTAGATTCTAGAGCACTGCGTGTGCGGGCAGGATATCTTGCAGCCCTGGGGCAAGCCCTACTGCTACATGGAGGTTTCAGGCCTCACAAGCTCGAGAGCGTCTCATTCCTTCGACGAGCAGTCGGTGCATCGCATTGCTGGAGGTCAGGAGCTTTTAGGAAAGAAGGCCGGCCAAAGCGAACGCTACCTGGTGGAGTTTCTTTTCGCTGCTCTTTTTCTCGTGCAGGTCAAAGCACCGACCACGAAGTTCGACCATGTCTTCGTGCTGCCACTGCCTACGATCAAGATGGACAAGGCATGTGCCAAGAACTGCTGCCGGCAGCGGGATAGGGGCATGCAAAGAGTTCCAGGGAACCGGCGTCGTCACCAGCGTCCCGAGTGATTCACCTGATGACTATGCCGCCTACATGGATCTGATGAAGTCAGGTGGGTCATGCAGTCTCGACTCCAAAGCCGTTTTTGTGCGAAAAGTGCGAGCTCCAACTGTGGCTGTCACCTGGGCCAGACAAGAAGCGAGAGTTCTTTGGCGTGAAGAAGGAGTGGGTAGTGCCCTTCGACTTGATCCCCATCATTGACGCTGGAGCTCAGCCTTGCTGGGTTTCATTCGTGACCGCTTGCACTTTCGAGTTTCTTTAACAAGGTAGAGATCGATGGCGAAATTCGGACCATGGCAGCACAGTACATGTGGCAGCCTTGGCTGTGAGCGTCGGAAGCATCGCAGGCCACAGTCCAATCTTCACTGCTGCAGTTCCAACTGAGTGCGAAGAGGTGTGAGAAGCTGGGCGTGCAGTCCATCAACGACCGGGTGAAGCTAGCAGAAGCTCACGACACCTGCTGCTGGACATTGTTTGCTTCGTGCACCTGATTAATTTGGTGGCCAGCGCTTGCATGAGAACAGCAGCGAGGCTACAAGCTGGGTTTCGACAAAGGCAGAAGCAAGAAAGAATTCGACGGAACTTCGCTGTGCAAAGTTAGCAGATCTGTTGCTGGGCAAAACTGCAATTGCGGCAGGTGTTATGTCGACTGGGCCTTTCAAGGGTCAGCCTGTCAAGCGACTCGGCTGCCGGAGACACTCGACGTGCTATGCCTGCCTGGGAAATGTCATCATTTGTGCCCTATCTCGTCTGTTTCTCTTTCCAAGTTCATTGTGGCCAATTCGCGCAACCATTCTTAGCCTCTCGGGGTTTCCGAACCGGTGGCCGAAGGAAAGCCAAAGTCGAGTTCAGAAACGTGAAGGGCCCAGGTGTTATCTGCAATGATGTGCTCGACCGGAGCTCCATGCCGTCTGCTGTAGCGAGGTTATGATTCAGGCAAAGCAAGCATTCACGTACTCAGAGCCCGAGAAGAAGGCAGGATGTTGGAGTGCGTCCACTCTTGGACTGCACTGTTAGAACGTGCGTCAGGTGATTTCGAGATCGGGTGATGAGTGTGTGGTGGCTGCAATTGATCAGCCAAGACCTGAGCACCACCAAAAACCACCAAGACACAGAGCTTGTCGCATCAGCGCCAGATGGTACTTGAAGTACGGTGAAGAGTCTTGGAAAGGACAGATTGAGGCGAGGAGTTTGCACACCCAGTGTGAAGATGAGTCACGGCTTGGCATCTGAAGGGCCATCTGCAGAGCTCCAACTTTGTCAGCAGCACTGATGCATTATGTACTTCTGGGGTCTTGCCGAAGTAGTGCTCTTGGGTGGTGAGGCTACAACGATCGCATCAAGGACTGCCATGTCCTGAACTTGTGTTCTGGCGAAGGGGAACCCTGCACGAACCACTAGCAGGAGTCTTTCGAGGATGCAATTGGCTGGCTCAAAGAATGGGCATGCAGTCGCCGTCCACTGAGACGCTTTGAAAGATTCTCGGCTCAGAAGTGGCCTGATACCTAGGATCCTTCGGGCTGGGCACACAGGCCCTCGTTCCCAGGGTTGCCACTTGTGTCGTGATCGTCGAGAATACCGGGAGGTACCTTGGGACGAGCAGTTCGTCATCGAGTCACTGCAGGGATGCCCAGACTTTACACATCCCAGTGATGCTTCCTTTGCGGTGGTCCCGCGACGTGCCCGTTTGCCAGGGAGGCACGTCGGCCCCCTGACGCTAGAATAGCCGAGTCACAGGAAGCAGCATAAGCAGCGCCGGGCCTCTGGATCCTTGGATAAGACGTTTTCGAATCGAGGGTTTCGTGTCTTTTTGTTCTCTTCGGGTTCTTTGGGGCTTTCGTTATGTTTTGGCTCCTTGATTTCATGGCGTCTTGTCGATTCACAAAACGCAAATCGATGGAATACAATTTGCCGTGCTTGTCGTTTTCGATGCGTGTCCGATGGACGACCCGCGAGCAAGCCCCTGCGGGACTATGCGGCTCCTCAAGATACCGCGTGCATTTTTGAATGCTTTTTGACCGCTCTTGCAGGGGCGGGGGTTACATCCACAGAGTTGAACCCTGTGCATGTTTGCTTGCTGGTGGGGCAAGAGCGCTGGGCAAAGTCGAAAGCAATGCAAGCAACACACAAAAGGGGTGAGCGTCTGAGCGATGGCTGGTCACTGTCGCACCGAGTAAAACGTCTGCCGATCTCGATCCGAAGGCCACCCCGTTTCCAAGCCTAAGTCTCTTCACCTGTGTGCCAGTGCGCAGCATGCGCAGCAGAAACCTCCCAAAGGGTCAGAATGCAGCGCAAGCCAACCTCAAAAAGCCGTCAATGGTGAACGGTGAATCACGGGATACCCGATCTCGTTCCGAGCCTTTCTTGGCCAGGTCTGTTCGAGGGGGTTGATCGAAGCCTTGACCCCGGCGTAAGCATCAAATTTGGAACTGGGGAAGCATGCCAAGCTTGTCGGGGTATCGGCACGTTGCATTCTGCCCGATTCAATCAACGCAGTATCACTGCTGAACCACGAACGCCTGTGACTGGACCTGGATCCGAGACCGTCTAGTTTTCCAGGTGCGCCATGCAAGCGAAAGTGTAGTTTACAAGTATCACTGCGAAGCCCCAGTCTGGCTCTTGCCTGCCGAGTCCTCGAGCGTCATGTTATCGAACAGCATCACACTGCCATGTTCTGTTTGCTTGTGTTCTTTTTGCACCTGCTCGTTGTACTTCGCAGATGCTTGCGCAGACGCCACGGTGGTGAGGAAGCTCATGGTTGTTACCATGAGCATGCCGAAAGTCATGGCAACGAGCCCGGCGATGCTCAAGAACAAAGAATCGCAATGATTTTGGCTCTAAATACGGCCATTTTGGCTCAAACCATTTTGGCTCAAATCTGGTTCCTCCTGTGTCAGAGCTGCTGTGTTTCACCGGGGGCCTCTCAGGGGTCATTCTGTCGCTTTCGTCGATGGCTGTCGATCTTGGTGGCGACTCTCTGATGGAAGCTGCAACCCAGCCCATCCTTGATGGTGAGGACGAAGGTGGTGATGATGATGAGAGCCCCCCTGACTCATGCTTCTCGTGCTGCTGAGCTTCCGAGGAATTCAGGGATTTGGCTGAAGGGATTCAGGGCTTAGTGCATTGCAGTCCCTGTTCAAAAAAAGGGATCGTCTTCGGCGTGATGATTTGTCTGCTCAGTCCGAGGCCCTCCGGGATGCGGCCATAGCTGCTGAAGCCCTTAAAGCCGCAACGAGCCCTGCTGAGGTTATACCCCTACCTTCCCCTAACCCATATGCGCTCGCCACCACAGCTGTTCCCGAGGTGGCACCCCTTGTTGAGACAAGTGGCCTCTCCTTGCCTGTTAATTCGAGGAAAACGAGGGATCGTCTGGAGAGTCCCGAGAAGAAACCGAAAATGGAGAGGAAGAGAGGAGATGGAGTACCCAAGCACGAAGGGCTTGAAGCACCCCCGCTTTTCGAAAGATCCAATGCTCGATTGTCGGGTAATCCCTCGGCACTCTGGACATGCCCCTCAGGCTGCCCCTCCCCTTGAACATAGGCACCCCCAAATTTTCGTATAGACAGGCAGAAACAAACTCAAGGCCAGGGTAGCATGTAGAAGCGCCTCAGCGTATGGAAGCGCGTCAGCGTCTACAAGCGCCTCAGCCTCTAAGCGCCTCAGCGCCTCACGTGCAGGGGTAAATCCACACAAGCGCCTATAAGCGCCTAAGCTCTTAAGCGGCTCAGCGCGAAAGAATAGAGACTTAGAGGCTTAGAGTGGCTTGCAAGCGGCCAGGTGGGGTAATAGAGGCTTAAAGGCTTAGAGAAGCTTTTCGGAGCGCACAAGCGGCAAGGAAATTATAGAGGCTTAGAGGCTTACAGGCGTCATCGAAATTCAGACCCGCTTTGCCCCTACGATGAAATTTTCCACCGTGGGTAAGTGACCTACGAGACAGGTTGACTGGAGGCCAGAAGGAGATCATGTCGGAGCTACACACCCATAAGCAACACCTCTCGTCGGTTTCCCACCAAGTTCAGAACTTGGATAAGAAACAGGAAGATCTGTCCCGGGCTCAGGGGGACATGGTTGCCAGACCCAACCACATGGAAGCTGAAGTTCGAGACCTCAAAACTAGATCTAGATCTGTGAGCCCTGCCCCGCCCCCGCCGGACCAGAGTCAGGGCTCCACGACTGCAAGCACTCTTGGCGGCAGACCGGTTGTTGATGATTTCCAGATAGTGATCGGGGGTTGGAACGAGGCTAAGCGAAGCGAGATTGAAAACGAGATACGCCGCCTCTTTGAAACTATTCAGGCTAGCCCTCTTCTCCACAACATCCATGTTCCTTTTGTTCGCTCTAAGTTTGAGTGGAGCTTTTCTACACCAACAGCGACTTTGCGGAGAGACGTAAAGTCCAAAGTTTGGTGATTGAAACCCTTAAGAAAGCTTTCCAAGATTACCGCAGTACCATCGCAGGGCAGGAAACCCGCTCATTGTGGGTCACAAGGAACCGAAGAAGCAAGGAGGACAGGGAGAAGATTCGTCCCCTGGTTAGCATTACGGAATGGGCTCAACAGCATATCTCCTCTATATTTATTGATTTAGATTGGAGGGGAAAGCTTTGGATCAGGGGGGAACAGGTTCTCTATTGATGCTGACAAGTGCAGCTGGAGATGAGACAGGTTGGTCGGTGGATGTACGCCAGCTCTGCAGATTCCTTTCTGTTCCCGCCGACCAGGTGCGAGATGAGCTCATGGATTGGTCATCGAAGAAATCTCCACCCGTCAAACCCAAGATGCCACAGGAAACCAGAATTCATGAATTCATTTTTGTGACTTGGAATTTGCATGGCAAGCACTTATCTAGTATCCAGAATCTTTTGGATGGGACTGAGGATCCTCCTGATGCTTTGTCTTTTCATGAGGTTGGAGGTTTCTCTGATCTACCTCAAGGTGAATGGAGGAAAGAAAGTGTTTCCTTTAGTGGGGTCACCTACAGGACCTTTGTCTACCAGACCCCCTTTTCGCATCGATGCACGGCCTTGTTGCTCCGGCAGGACCTAACACTCGAGGTCAAACATAGACATGTTTTCGGGTCTGGGTTTATTCTGGAGGGAAATCGGAGGGCAGAACTTTTTGGCTTGGCTGTGGACACCTACCTCACCAACAGAGAGCAGATGCTGAGGAGGTGTGGCTGTCCAGTCTCGTAAGATTGATGAGATCCTTGCATCTTCTAGAATTCAGGATGTTGTGCTCCTTGGCTTTGATGTAAATCAGAACCTGCGCTGTCAAGAATTCATTTGCTTTTGCGCTTTCGAGGACTGGAATTCAATGCTGCATGTGGAGATACCTGGGAAGCTAGAGGTGAACGAGGCTGTATTGATTGGCTCCTTTTCAGATGGCCCATGACGGAGGTGGCCTTCCACTTGAGGCCTTACTTGAGGACTGCCCGCCCTTCGGATCACAATCCTCTGGTCGGGGTTTTCCAGGGACGGCTTGGCCTTAGCGAACGCCTTCCCAGGCCTAAACATGGTTGTGGTAGATGGAGTACGGCCGTTGCACCCTAGGAGAAAGCAGCAGCGAATCCTGACTTTGCGTTCAACCAGGACTCCCCGCTAAACTGTGCAAGGATAACTCTGTTCGACTCCCGTCGCTGAGGTACAAGGATCCACCCCACGTTCAGGACTTGATTAGGCAGAGGAAAATTGCGGGGGATCCTGAGCTCCGTGCTCGTTTGTCTAAGGAGGTTTCTGAGGCCAGACGCCTAGCGCAGCAAACTCACAAGCTTTCGCTACTGGATGCGGCCAGGAAAGGAGACCGAGGTGCAATTGGACACCTCAGGCGAAGCAGTCTCCAGAGTCACTCTGATGGAAGCCTTATTGAAAGGCTCGGGGGTGACCTCAAAGCTTTCGAAGCTTTTCAGTCTTTCTACGCTAAGAAGTATTCTCTGAGCCCCTCTGATTCGCCGATTTCTCCAGCTCAACATGAGGCTCTGGTTCAGAAACACTCCCCAACACCTGTGGTCCCCATCTCTACAGAAGGGATCAGTACTGCACTGGAACATGTTAAGCCTTCTACAGCTTCGGATCTGGACTCGGCTTGTCATGCAGAAATCAGGACCTGTCATTCGCAGGATGCCTCTGGCAAGCTCTGTCAGTTCTTTAACAGAATTCTTCAAGGCAGCACCCCCGTTCCACGGGAGTGGGTCACTGGCAAGATCTGCTTCATCCCTAAAATTGCTAGGCCTGAAAGAGTTCAAGACATGCGACCTATTAGCCTAAAGATCTTCACGAAGATTCTCGTTCTAGACTAAGATGCAAGTTCCCTGCTTCTGGAGCAGGGCAGCATGCATGCCGCCCTGGGACACAAGTCATAGAGGCCATGGCGTGTGCACAATCAGCCCTCCACATATTTAAACAGCACACAGGGGCTCAGCTGCTTGTCTGCAAATTGGATATTAGTCAAGCCTTCGACACCCTTTCTGATCATGCCATTTGGCGGTACCTGATGGAGACTGATGCTTGTCCTGAAGCACTGGCCCTTTGGACGATGTGCCAGAATACCAAGGTATGCCTTCAAATAGGGTCCCACATGTGGATGCAGGAACTTCAAAGGGGGCTTCTTCAAGGCACGTCCTTCAGTGCAGACCTTTTCTCTAGAGTTCTGGATTATTTCTGCGCAGGACTTCTTGAAAGGTGGAAACAAAACCGACATCCCGCCTTTGGTATGTTTTCC